AGAGTGCCACCATGGAGCCATCCTCCACGCAGGATGGAGGCGCTTGCTTCCCACACTCTGTGCAGTCCCCATCTGTCCACAAGGTCTGGGGTTACTCAAATTCTACCTTTGTCCTTTTTCTTGAGATGATTGCTCCGGGCTTATTAAGTGCTAAGAACTAGGAATGAAAGAATAGCATGTCTTGGTCTACAGTTCCCTAAAGGGACATTGATACAGTCGTTTGCAGATAATCTATATACGATAAGCGTTGTAGTCAGAAACCAATCAGGCATACAGCTGGATGGCAACTCATTGTTAAGTTGCTAATCTGTACTCTTGAAATGTTTTAGTGATAAAACACTGTTCATTTGGTGTCTAGTCATGTAATTTTTAGGCTTTATTTAAAAAAAAAAAGAAAGAAATGTTGATATTCCACAGCATCAATTTAATATCTTTCTGCCGTTGTCCCCCCCCCAACCTCATTACACACATCAGATCATTGTCTGTCTGTCTGTCTGTACTGTTCGGTTACCTCACCTTGGAGACAATTTGTTTAATTGAGTAATTTCTAATAATTTTTCTAAGTGTCATATTTAATTACATTAGCATCTAGAAATCATTAAAGAAGTTTAATTGTCTGGATTTTGTTTTGCTTTTACTTTAAACAGAGAAAGATGGAGTTTTTATTTTTCCACTGTCTTCTTCTGAAAGGAATATGTTTTTATTAAAGAAGTCATAAGGTGGCCATATTGGACTCATTTTTCTATCCAGCTCACTCTAAGGTGACAATCTGCTAGCAGGAAAACCCCAGGACTCATCTAATGAGTGGACTGACACCATTTAATGAAAGCTTAGTCTCACTTTGTTTGCTACCTATGGGATGTGGAACACAGACTCCCTATAGATTGCTGCCACCGTCAACTCCAGACTGGCTCGAGTTTCTCAGCCTCAAAAATCTAGAGCTAATCATGTGACAATATTACAAAAAAGAATGTCTCCACAGGAAGCAATTGTCTGAAGTTCTAATTTAGAAATATTTAATGCCAGTGTTCTGGTCTCCTTTCTTCCATTTGGCTCCTATAATGTTTCTCTGCATTTTCTTCAGAAGAAAGGATGTCACTACATAGCTAGGTATAACAATTCATTCTTGCCTTAGTTCGTAAGTTAATAAAGTTTTCAGGAGAATAAGCTGGACCCTTAGCAAAAAACTTTTTGTATTATTTAAAGAGAAACAATTTCATGTGGAGCTTTTCCTATGGCGATAGCGTCTTTGATCGTGGTTCTTATATTTGCTACCAAGAGCCTAACATGCTTACAACTATGTACTGCAATTTCTGAGAGAATAGAAAAGCCTCTGGATGAAAATGACTTCTGGGCCAGAAATGTTGTTTAGAATTTCATTTTTAAAGATAAAACCTATCTTCCTGTTTGTCTTTATTTTGATCTAAATCAACAGTAATTTGTTAACGCTTTAGAATACGACTTAATCCTATCCGGTTTCCAAGAAAGGCTGAACATACAATGAGATAATTTAACCAGGCAAGCCATAATCAAACACTGCAGACTGCTGGGAAGACCCAGGGAATGCCATGGGTGCTATGAGCAGACCTCACCCTGCCTGGGAAACCAACGCTATGGGGAGAGGGGAGGAGCCTCGCTCCCTGGGAGGTCTATGCATGAATGTGATTCCCCCAAAGTATTACCAAGTTGATATTCTATTTTTTCTGGGACTTGAGCAAACAATTGAAACAGACAGCTCTTCCGGAATCATGTCTTGTCTGAAGGTCTGCCTGAGCATAACTGCTCCATCTACTAAAAAGGCCAGGATCTGAAACAATCTGGGCTCTTTCTCAGCTCAAGCTAAGAAGCACTCCCTTGAAGGAGCAGCCTAGTTTAAGAACACAGGATCTGGGATAAAACAGCATAGCTCTGTGGGCAACATTGCTGCTCAAGGTGGCCTTGGATGAGTAGCTGAATATTGGTTTTTTTGTTTGTTTGTTTGTTTCTTATCTGTAACAATAAAAACATCATGGTATTCGTGTTAGAATAAAGTGAGGTAAAGGGGGCAGAGTATTGAACATACTGCCTAGGACACTGTAGATGCTCAATAAACAGTGGCAGCTATTAAAATTACTATTATTTTTTATTATATTTAACATAAATACACGAATATATTTACTTTATTATATTTATATGATACTTTATATGTTATACTATTATATTATTTTTAGATGGGGTTTCATGTAGCTCAAGTTAGCCTTGAACTTGCTACATAGCTAAGGCTGGCCTAAATTCTTGATCCTCCTGCCTCCACCTTCAGAGGGCTCAGTTTATAGCCATGTGCTGCAAAGCCCAGTGCTCCTAACTATTGTTAAAGCAATAAAAATGCAAACATTTTACCTCCACGCAACGGCTGCCCATCGTGTGTTTAGAATATGCCAAACTGTACAAATACTAGAAATAATAATAAAAAAATAAAAGCCTTATTCAGTAACTGAGATTAGAGCTTTCATCTGTTTATTAATGACGGCAGGTTGTTTCCTGGCTTTCATTCTTGATGTCGTTGGAAGAAGGTTTCCTGGATTGTTTTCAGTCGTGTGTTTATATTTAGAAGTAGAAATTATCCTCCATGTTCCTTGGTAGTAGCCAGTGTCCTCATCCCCCACTGGAGCTGCCGGCCTTAGGTTCTATTCCAAGGACCTGGGAACTGGCAGGAAGTGGGGAGACAGGAACAGTGGCCCTGACATCCATTCATCATGAATACCTCTATGTACCTTACCTGCTGGGACGTATGCCCAGTATGCATCACACCCTCCATGAGGCCCTTCATGAAATGCTGTCACAAGTAGCTTCTCATGTGATGTAACAGACCGTTCATGGGGATGTTGGGTTTATGCCCATTTCATGGATGCAGAAAGGACCACACAGGAGAAACTGCAAATTAAGGGGAATGATGCCTGTCTTCTAGGCTTGCAGTAAGGAGGACGGGTTGTATATTATTGTGCTGAAGAAGGAACATAACACAAAGATTCAGGTAGAGGATCTAGACTCTGATCCTTTGGATTCAGATTCCAGGTTTTCTCTTTGCTGACTGGATGACCTTAGGTGAGTTATTCCACCTCTCTAGACTGAGTACATCATCTAAAAATTAAGCTTTAATTCTTCTTTTTTTTAAAAAAAAAATTTTATTGGTTCTCTGTGAATTTCACATCGTGTGCCCCAATCTCACTCATTTTCCCCTCCCCTCATACCCACCCTTCGCCCTTGCAACCTCCCCCACAACAGAGAAAGAAATCCCACTGTGGAAGCTGCAGTGTGCCACAGTGTGTTCCACAGTATACCCTTTGTCCACACTTCTTTGCTTGCAAATATTCATTGCAATGACACAATGGTCTGGCATGAGGTCTTGTGTTTCTGCTACTGTATAGATACTGGAACCTCACTGGGACTCCTCTCAGATGTCCTGTTATTGCCTGGTGTCATGGTGATCCTATAATTTTGGATCTGTATGACCAGTCCCTTCACACACTCCTGCCATTCATCGATGGAATAGGTGTTGGGATTGGCCAACTCAAAGTCCTGGGTCTGAGCCTGAGTGGTGTCTGAGCTAGTCAGTCCCCTGGCTCTCCCACACTCATGCCCTCAGAACTGGCCCACCAGAAACCCCGACAACCAGGGCCAGCTCTACCCTGATGCCCAGGGAAGGTGCAGGGCCCAATCTCCCAAGCATTGCAGTTGGTGAGGGGCATGGCCAATTCTCCCACTCTCATGAGCCTGGGTCTAGCGCTACCTGCCAGAGATGGTGACGGACAAGGAAGGAGAGGAGGTATCTCTCCCTCATCCTCATCTCTGCCAATACCCAGCAGACAAGAGGCAGAGCCAGCTCTCCTACACTCACACCCTTAGGGGTGGCTCACCCACAACCTCCACATCCAGAGCTGTCTCTACTGTGGTGCAAAGCCTGTTCTTCAAAATGCTGCAGCAGGTGAGGGGCAGGGCCAGCTCTCCTGCTCTAATTACACCTCCCTATCCTCATCCAACTCTCCCACCTGCCACTGTTGGTAAAAGCAAAAGGAGGGGGGGATCCCTCCCTCATCACCCCGTAGCAAACAAGTGGTGGGGCTGACTCCCATACTTGCTCCTATGGGGCCAGTTCATCCTGCTGCCCAGGCAAGATCCAGGGCCCACTCCACGCTTGTATCCTCAGGGCTGGCTCCCTGAGAACTCACACCATGTGCTAGCACTCTCCTGAGTACTACAGATGGATAGGGGCAGGACCTCTCTCCCACTCTCACGCCTCAAGAGCCAGCTTTTCCATAATGCCCGGGTGAGGGGTAGAGCCAGTTTCCCACAGCCCTCAGACATCAACATATCCTCCAGCAGCAGCTCAGACCAGGGATATCTTTCTAACCTTTGGTAGTAACAGACCCCTGTTGGTTCAGGGCCACAGACCCAGATGTGGGCCCTGGTGGAAGCACAGGTCAGGACCCACCAGGGTCCCAGGTGGCACCAGCAGCTACGCACATCAGGCTGTTCCTCACTACCCTTGACTTTCCAGTTCTGCCTCTCTTCACTGTACCCACATCCTCCTGTTTCTCTTCCCCTCTCATTTCTCCACCACTTACTTGCTCCTCTTAGAGGCACCTGGGGTATCTGATTGTCTGGGTTCATCTCAGAAATACTATGTCCCATTCCTGCATTACGGCACTGGTCAAGGGTCATCTAGGGCGTGGTCTGTCCCTCTGGGCCTGGGTAGTGCCCACTAGTCTCAGGCTAGCTCCCTATCTAGCCCCTATAGTGTTGGTCTGGTGGTCATCTTGAGCTTATCTCTAGTCCAGCCCTCCCAACTGGCCTCCTGTGAGAGTTGTCTGCCTCTGGCTCACTCTCACCCAGGGCCCTTACCCAGACAAGATTCTTCTAGTCTCCAGCTCACTCCTGGTCCTAGGAGCTATCTGGGCCTGGGTAGCACTGGACCCCCTGCTGTCGGACACATGGTTGTCTCAGGCTCACTTTTTTCAGGGAGTGTGAGGCTACTAATCATTCAGAGGCTCACAGGTTAGAACACTGAGTGTAGACACAACCTCTCTCCTCTCTGTCACCTACTGAAGTGCATGTGACACAGCAGTCACACCTGCAATGCCTTTAGGGGCATGGACATTGATGCTTAAAAGACAAAATTTTACAGTGTGTCATTCAAGATAGGCAGACCAGCTGATTGCGCATTTTAAAAACTCAAAAGCTAGTATATTTTAATTATGTTTGGTAGATAACTATGGTAATTGACTTAAATCAATAAAATACAGGAATAGGGCCAGTATTTAAAACATGGCCACAACGGTGCTTTCTCATAGATTATTTTTGTTAACGCGGATGGATGCTGAGGACGTGATTCTCTCTATCCAGCGTGTTTTACAGTTCTGTTTTCTTCAATACCCCTGGCAGCTTTGGGGTCTGAACATGTACACCCTTTATGGGGGAAAAAAAAGCTCTCTGAAGCAGGGTAGACTGTGGGCCAGGGAATTGTCTAGGCTCTCTACTAATCTCTGAAGACGAGAGGTAATCCCTTCACAAACACGGGGATGGGGGCTTCTCTGTGGATGGCAAATAATAAACAATGAGAGATTTATTTTTTTTAAATCCTGCTTCTTTCAGCTCTCCTGTCTGTGGTCCTCAGCAATAACTTAGCCCTTGTCTTCCTCTCTGGAGGATTTAAATGGAATGACCTTAATTCTTGCTTTGTTTGCACTCTCTCTTCTAAGAAGCGGCCATGAAGACCAAGACAAACAGTAGATTAACAGTGGTACCTTTTATATGGCTGATTCGTTTCAAAAATATGCCGAAAGGAATCAAAACCCAAAGTGGGGAGAAAGCTGTGGAGTAGGAGGAGAGCAGGAGCTTACACTGGGGAGTTTGAAACGGCCCTTTCCTTTCCGTGCTCACAGATACCAAGCTTCTGGGACAGTGTTTCCTTTGTGTGAAGGCTTTGCCAGGCTAGAATTTATGGTATTAAGCAGGTGACTGGTAAGTGTTTCTAAACCAATATTATTTCACTGCCTAATTTGGGGCTAAGAGGAGAGTTATAGAGGGGATGTATTCAGAAAACATTGGATCGTGGCTCACCTGCCACTCCGTAGAGTAGAGTCTATCAAGTGGCTGACAGTCTCCAAATCAGAATTCCAAGGATGCTGTCATGTGGAGTCATTAAGAGGGGCACAGCTTCTTAGAATCTCCTTCAGCTCCTCTGGATTTAAAGGAATTTACAGGGAAACTTCCAAGACACCTTAGCTATATCCAAATGAAAGCCAAGCATTATAGTTTGGCAGGGCTGAAAGTGTGTCTCTGAAAGGGGAAAAAAAATTGTATGAAGCTACAGAGAAAAACGTCTGGGCATTAGCTTCTATTTCCTTTAAGGGATGGGAGAGTGCTCTGAGATTGTTCCATTCAATTTAAAGTTAAACACAAATGTGAAAGGCTGGGGTACGTTAATAAGATGATCCACCTGCTTATAATAATAGGATAATTCACATCCTCATTGTCAGAGCGGTGAGGCTCCCGACCAGGTCAGTCATTAAACTCAATGTCTCTCATTCTTTGGTGCCATTTCACTTAGATTCTCCGTACCACTTGTCTGCCCTTCTTTTCCACTGTGCACCTATCTTGCAAATTTAGTTCCATTAGGTGGATACTTGCATCATTACGAAGCCCAATTCCATCATTTTCAGAGTGGCAAAGCCATTTAAATACAGTGCAGTCCTTGGCCGTATTTAGTCCAAACATTTACACATATCCAAGCTCATTCTTAATCTTTTTAAATAGGATGCAGGGCTTATTTTTAAATTACCTCTTCATTCATGGTCTGTAAAAGCATCAAGAGATACCATCCATTGGATTTTTAAATCTGGTCCTCAGGGGCTGTTTCCAGTTCTTGGCATTGCCGTTAAACCCTAGCCCCAGCATAATTCTCTGCATGAGAGTCTCATGTCAAGGCCAAAAAGGTAAGACAGAAGCAGCCATTTTTTTTTATCTCTCCAAGAACTATACACTACATGGCAGTACACTGTGGCTCTTGCTTTCTCAAAACAAGGTACTTTTAGATAAGGGCTCCCAACACCCATAAGAAGTGGGGGCGCTTGAAGTGAACCCATTGCTTAACAAAATCTGAGGCGCAAGTTATTTCTTCTCCCAAGCCAATTAGATGTGAATCTATTTGAGGAGGCATCTGTTAATATAATTAGCTTGGCTGTGACTGGAATACAGTAGCTCACACTAGAGCATCCCAACAGTCCAGGATAGCCTAGGGTTTCCTTGGACCCTTGACGGACCTGCTCTACAAATTCCTTTTTCGTTCTCTAAGCACACTGTTCTATTAGGTCTCTAGTCTTTGGGTCATAGGACAAGGTTCCCTGAAGAAACCAATGCCTGAACCCACCTGCTACCCATCCTGAGCAGAGACTAACACAAGAAATCTGTCTTGTTGGTTTTAAAGGATGTAGATCAAACTGATTCTCATGTGTTTTACTTAATAAAGCAGGTACCTACTCTCCCTTTGGCTCAAACCTACCTTGTCTCAGTGCATACTGGGAAAAGGAAGAGAGAGAGAGAATAAAAGAAAAAGCCAATGCGGTGGGGCCTGCAGGAGGAGTGTGTAGACGACTCCTCAAATGATCACAACTGTGTGATTGTTCTGGGTACACATCTTTGATAGGCTGCCATTTGTTCCCACTCACCTAGAGAGGCTGTGGATAGCCTGAGAGGTTTGTGTGTGTGCGAGCGCGCGTTTTAACAAATTTTCAAAAGTTGCCATGGGGAGAGAATCACGAGAAAGCTCTTCAAAAAAGAAAATAATTTTCACAGCATCATCACAAGAGAGAAACACCCGTGTAATAGATATCTCTGAAGGTCGACTGCAATCTGAACTAATTGGGAGGGAAGGGGAGAGCTCTCCGTTTGCTCACCTCCTGTAATGGGCCTTGGAGAAGTGATCAGTAGCCAAACACTTCCTGCAATGAGTGGTTTGGACACTCTAAGCGAAAAGGAAGACTTCTCCAAGCTGCTCCTTGTTCGTGTCACTGAGAGAGGTCACTGTCTGCCTTCATCCACGCGGCACTTCTGATCACTGGGTAGGTTCTGTTACAGAAGTCATCTCCTGTCACAAGGACATCAATCTCCCTCGACCACCAGCCTAAGAGGGGACTTGGAGGCAAGAAGGTGATCTCAGATCCTCGAGATCACAGCCAAAGAACATTATTTATAGGCCGTGACTGAAAATCAACGCCAATCTGGGTGAAGGTACTACATTAAGCCAATAACAGACAACAAGCCTGGGACTGTTTTGTATGATGATGAAATTGTCCGAAGCCCCACCGCTGTGAGGAGGACGAGAGCGTGATGGGGGGGGGGCTGGCACTGCTCTGTGAAGTGTCTGTTGTGATTGCCAGCCGCTTTCCACAGATCCTTGCTGAATATTATGCCATTAAACAGTGTGAAAGAAAATCAAAATATATGTTTACTGGGTACTAAATAGTAAGTGCCTTTCAAATGCTCTTTAATGGACAGACTTTAAAGTCATTGTAGAGCACCTTCACAATCCAAGAGCAGCGTGCTCCTCTCTGTAAACCACCTCGAGGGGCTGAAGGAGTGCTGCCTGTGAATTGTAACCGCCCTGCAACTCCGGTCCCTTAAAGGCATCCGTCTTTAGAGAGTAGAAATGCTTTCAGCCATACATATTGGTCTACAGTTTTAATGAAAAAACTGGTGATCTCTCAATCATATTTTCTCAGAAACTGAGTGAAAGTCAGTGTGCAGTTTAACATAATAGATACCCCTCCTCAGTGACTCAGGGAGGGAGGGAATTTATGTTTGCAGGCGGGGTTATATGGATCTATTTTTAGACCCATATATCAGGACCTAACCACGACAAAAGACTTGTGGCGTGAAATGATCAAATGCATTTAACACACATGAAGTGCAATTTTGGAACTTCTCGGAACATGGTGCATTAAAGACGGCATGACTCGGCAGCTAAGGATCTTCTTCATAGGAAGATCAGGACTAAAGTGAAACCATTGTATCTCAGAGGGTGATCACAAATCAGTAGCAGGAAAAAAATAGATGATGTCCAAGTTGGAAACTAAGGGATGAATGAGTAACTCTCTGGAAAAGCCTGATGATGAATCCATGTCTCATTTCTTCTTTGGGAAAGCTCAAAAGTTAAGAATAAAACTTGAAAGATGCCATCAAACAGTAGAAAAATGGACGGGAATATCCTTTATATTTTTGGTGCAAAAAGGCGAGACAAAAGCCACAAATATAAAAGAAAACACTGCTATGACTCTATCAAAATCGGATCTTTGGCCTAGAAGGAACACAAGATATTCAAGAGACAGGTGACAAATTGGGAAAAATATTTGCAGCTCATAACACAGTCAAAATGTACAATTTCCAAAATATAAAAATTAACACCCCACAAGAAATAAAAATAAAATATCTATAAAAAGAATTAACTAAAAAAAAAATTGACTCTCCAGGTCAGAAAGTGACTTTTGACATCACTAACAGAAGCTTAAATAATGACGCAGTACTGTCTCTCGCTATCAGATCAGCAAGATTTCAAGAGTTTAATTTGTCTGTTGTGGGTAAGGATGGAAAAGAGGAGCTTTCGACAGCACCGAGGGGCGTGCGGATTGGAATAAATCTCCACAGTAGGAAATTTAACAATTTTCATCAAAATTACAAATGCAAATATACTCTTTAACCTAGAAATTTCAGTTCTGGGATTTTATCTTTCACATATTTTTGCATACATAAGACACAGAAATTGCACGTGTTTATCTGCAAAAGGGAAGTACGGAGGACAGCCCAAATGGGCATCCGTAGGCATTAACTAAAGAAACCATCGTGTACCCACCTGGTGGAGTGCTGTGCTGTTGTAATAAGAAGAAATGAAAACAGAAAGATGAGTGTGCTCTGGTACAAAATTATATATAATAACATTATATATAATGTTATTGAGAAGAAGCCCACAGCCACCACGTGAATAGTATGACGTCGTGTGCGTGAAAAAAGTAAACTAAGTGTCTCTGTTAGCATTTTCAAGTCTGGCACAAGGAAACCGTGGAAACCTACAAAAACGAACCAACAAGGAAAACCCCAG